AGGAACTCTGAAATTGTCGGATAACAAAACCTGGACAGTTTCTCCCAGATCTTCCTGTCAACTGCTTCTATTTCAACAGTTAATCTAGCAATTACCTTTTGAAGTGAGGTACTGCTGTGCATATGTACAGTATTCACCTGACAGTACTAAACTTAAAATCAGATATGTTAATGTTACATAAATGTCTGCATGACATTAATTCTGTCAAGAATAGACAATTTACAGTTTTGTAATTCAAGCAACCATTTAAGAGTTCAGTGAATTTCTATTTCGGTAAAAAAGTGCAGTTGTAACAAAATATGGACTAAATTACTAGTTTCTCTATTCATCTGTGCAAATGTGGCTATTTCAGATCCTATACACAGCTCACAATTGTCATGAAGTAAAAACTCAAACCTTAAAGAAATAGCTAATGCAATTGCATTGCTTAATATAACCGAGCAGTTTTTACCTCTGATTCAGCACTAAAAAGCTGTCGTTCTCGCTTATCTAGATCTCTCAGGGTTTTCTGAAGTTTTTCTTCAAAAGCATTATACTCCGCTACCTAGCCAAACAAAAAAAAAAAAAGTATAAAATAATGACAATTTTTATTTGGAAGCTTACATATAAAACCAATCTCCAGCTCTTAATTAAGAATTTACAATGGAGAGTCCTTCTTTCTAACTCAGTAAAGGTTAATAGGTCACCATGCACAGCCAGGCTGTACAAGTGCTTTTTGACCATGCATGTGAAAGGCAATTAAGGTTAAAAAGCACCCATATAAAGCAAGCTAACCTAAGGATTTCTAACAAGTATTCTATGATTAAGGACTACTTTTAATAGTTTTGCACTGTTGCAGACTAGATGCATGCATATCAGTAGGTGCAAAGGCTAATCATGGATCCTTTGTTATATGTTTACCTTGTTGAGCTTATAGTGATAGATTTATAGTAAGACTTTCACCTCATATAAGGACAAGTTTCCTTACCTTTTTCTTCACTAGTGCCTCTCTCTCTCTATCTCTTTTCTTCCATTCTTCTGCAAGTGCTTGCATATGGACCATTTCCTTCTTTTTAAGCTTTTAAAGACAGAAGAGAGAAACAAAACCCCCAAACCAGAAAACCAGATCAAAATTGTTGAAGTGCAGCTTTAGAGTACTACCAGATGTAAGTCTTGAGCAAAACAATTTTGTACACTAACTTATGACTCAGTATATATCCTGATAGTGAAAGTTACTTCTTACACTAAAGTACAAAATGCAAAGTAAACACAAGTTTGAGAAAAATACCCTAACAAATGGACACCAGGTCCTCAGTATCTTTTAAAAAGAAGTATGTGATTAAGAATACTTAGAATGAGTTCAGGAGTAGAAACATAGCAATGGATTTTTGAGTGAGACTAAAGAAATACAGCGTCAATATTTAACATCTGTAATATGAATCTTGAGTATCTACTATACTTCATAAAAAGTAATTGAAAATTTTGAAGGGGGTATTCTGCAGTTCAATATCTGGCACTTTCTTCAGGCGCTTAAAATAATTAACCTTCTTCCTTAAGAATATGGAATTACTGGATAGATTAGTGTACCTCTGAAGTTTTAATATTCTGTATGAGTAAAATTTAGTTCTTATTTGAAACAGTGGCAAAGAAAAATAGAAGTAATGTTCCCCTCATCAATTCTGCTAAAAATTCTCTGGCAATCATGTTATTTAGGTAATAAAGAGTAGGTAAAGAAAGAGTAAAAACCTGATTTTCAAAAAGGTCCTCTTGCATTTCCTTCCACATTTCTAACTCCAGTGCTGCTTTGTATTCAAGAGTTTCTCGAGGTTCTGGATGGTCTTCTGGAGTACAGTGAGGCTGAGTGTGAGGAATATGCTGTTGTTGCCCAGCAACTACACCCTGATAAAATAAGAGTGGATTTTTCACTGGAAACTCAACTTTTCAAAGAAATGTTCAAGGCAAAAAGATAAGATTTATGTAAAATTTACTTGAGAAGAATCTGACACCATAACTTCTTGCACCTTCACAAGCCCGTAGTCTTCCAAAGTGGTGGCATATGAAAGCTCTGCTATTCTGTTGCCTGACCTACAAATAATTAGAATGTTATTTTAATGAAAACTGTCTCAAAATACAGAAAGTAATTGTAAACCAACACACAAACCAGCAAAGCTGAAGTCCTAAAATTTCCATGCAAGCTCAAAATCTCTGAATAGTTGTCTACATGAGAGCCAAACATGCTCTCCTATGTATATTGTTAAGTTAGGGATTAGTTTATGCAATAAGCTTTCTGACTTTAACAGATAATTTGGGAATTCATTGGGAATCTATTTAACTAACAGATTAGTATAATCCAAATATCCCTGCACCAAGGAAATTATCCAAAATTGTACCTACAACCTTAAATCTTTCTAATGGTATAACTGTCAGGTATTGCTGCTGGCTTCATTTTAAGATACTTGTTCAAAATCGTTAATCTTGTTTTTTTAGGTGTTAACAGTAACTTTCTAGTTATCCACATATAAATTGCTCAGCACATCATATGGGGTAAACCATCCTTGGATTGCCAAAAACCATATTTCTGGAAGCTTCAGCACAGAGAACTGGCAACTTTAAATCCACTTATGTGTTAAATACCTACCTGCTCTTGTACAGTGAAAAACTGCTTAGATAGCAGATATTTCAACACACTAATTTGGGAAAAAAAGCAACAAACATTTGTATTTCACACAACATTAAAATTAATTACTGCATTAAATTCCTACAACTTTCTATCAGTGACTGACTAAAAAAGAAAACAAATTCATGTTAATGGACTTCAGAATCTGAGTAAGTGCGTTTAACACACCAGTGTAAAAAGAAGGTTTCATCAACACTACAAGGATAGGAAGGGATCAGCACAGCAAAATGAAGACCCGATTACATTTTGAGAATGCCATCTAGTGGTTGTTATGTTTTGCGGAAAACCAGTTTTCATTTTAACAAACTGTAAGTGAAAGTATGAACCTTAACGTACAGTGAGATCTTAAAGAAACTCTCCACAGAGTCAGGCCATGCTGGCTTTGACACAAAAAACTTTAAACAAAGCCAGTCAATTTTCTATCAGTGTGGGAGGAGGGGTGATATCAATCAGCAACCTGAGATTTCCTGTGAGTCAAATATAGCATGCTTTATTTAACTGTTGTATTAGAGGTTTAAACCTGACTCCAGTGTTAATAGCAATTAAATTTATTCCTAAGGGCATAATCAAGTTCCACCATCACACAGAAAAAGATAAGGGTCTAGATACTGATTGTGAGCACAACACATCTTCACCAAGAACACGGGTTCTTCGTATACATAAAGACCCCATCACTGCTCTATGTAAATGAACATTTATCTTCAGACAGAACATTAACTAATACTGCTCCTTCTGATGCACAGAAGCCCAAACCTCTGCTATTATCACAAGGAATAATCCTGAAACAGGAAACCTCTCCATTCTATGGATGTACCTCTCCTCCTAACTTCACCGAAGTCAGCTGCATTAAAAGCATACTATGAACAAAGAATGTTAACTGTTTTCTGGAATATCTGTAATTAACTTACTCAGAATTACCTCAGTAACATTTCTTCCAATTACTTATCTCTTTAATTGGTCTGTGAATTTTACCCAGGATCTTGATTAAATAAAGACTTATAAAAATGACTTCGGTAGTGGTGTGGGCATTGCACAATATGACCGTGGCAATTTAACTTTTAATCTCTTGGATGCCTTTCCCCCCCTCTATATTGCAGTACTCTGCAGACTGTTTGCCTAATCAAAAAGCTAAGCAGGAAGAGTTTGTCCTTTTTCAGGTAAATACTAAACAAACAATTCTTCAGAATTTGCTAGAGAGTTAAATATCTTTTTAAATAGCTTTACCCATGTGCTGCTGTGACACTGACTGTTTCATTACAAGTCTGACGCCAGCATTGTTCACCATTCCCACCCAAGAAGCGTGTTTTTTCCGAAGTCAACACGTTTGAAAGCTGAAGTCTTGCCACCCCTAGAAGTAAATCTTTGGCTGTTTTATCCTTGTGCCACAATTCAACCAGCAGAGGCAATCTGAAACAAACAAGCGATCTCTGTGTCAGGCATCAAAACAAAAGAGGAAGCATTCTTATTCATTCTCTAAAAGTAACTCCCCAAACAAGTGATACAATTGTCAAACAATGAGATGAGTTTACTGCTTTTCACTTAGAGGAACCAGACTGAGTAACCTTGTATCTTCACCATCACTTGGTTTGGTCAGATTACTGGTCCTTTCTCCAATTATGAGGGAATAACAATGTTACACTGAAAGCAACTGACTGAATAACATTAGTAGAACTCTATCATCTTCATTTATAAATACTTATAAATTAATTTTAGCCACCGTCACTCAAAATACATCTCCCTCCACTTTCCTTTCAAAATATTGCTATTTTGGTGATTTTTTTTTTCCACATTTTAATCATTTGTTGAAAGCTGGTAGAACTCCTTGGAAAACTGTTTCACAGCCCTCAACACTGTGTTCAGCTTTCCAGGTACCTGCTGTATTTTCAAAGACATCATATTTTAATACACAAGGCATTAAAAACTGTGTATTGAAAAATAAAAAAGGATGTATTTTATTTGAAGTAGTACTTTGTTACTTTACTGTAACAATTTACAGGAATGGCACTTGTTTCTGTAAGGAACAATCCCTGCATAGGTACGTAGAGATGAAATCAAGAGTTCTAGAGTTTCTCACTTTAAATGTAATTAACAGAGAAACTGGAAGTGCAGGGTATTAAATATTCATTGGCATTAGCACTTGAATTCTTTATTAAATTCTTAAACTGATGATCTTAAGTAAAATACTTGAACTTGCAACTGCATTTAAAACAAAAATTATAAAAGTGTAATTAAGATACAAAATTGCAAGTTACCACCTGAAGAATGTATCTTGAAGCTGATGAGGTATAGTTGCAAAGTCAAATGCACAATATGACTTTGGAAGAAAGACTTCCATGTTCTTTCTGATTTCTACAGGTGGGCTTGTCATAATAGGTGCTGCACTGCCAAAAAATGGATACGAGTACCTAATAAAAACAATAACCAAAATAATAAAATAATAATTATAATTTTTATTATATCTTCTGCAACAAGAAAACCAGTTTAGACATCATCTACTGAAGCATGACACTGTACTAAAGTTTGGAAGATTTGTACTAGTACATATTACAACAGAATTTAGTTCTCAGGTATTTGTGTTTTCATTTACTTCAGGACTAATCCAGCTTCTTTATATTTGCTGTCATTTTGACAAAAAAGCTTTAATTATCTGTATGTTCCCAACCAGATGAATTTATATTTTATTAAAATTCCGGAATTATTATAAAAGAGTGAGTAGAGAACTAGAAGAAAGAAAAATAATATTCACATGTAGATTGCTGCTTGAGAACATTTACAACTATATTTACAGTGAAGACTGGTCTAACACGCAAAAACTGGTAACTAAGTATACGTATACATAATGTCAGAACCATTTGAAAATTTCATGAACTTTTAATTCCCACACATTAGCTGACTAATAGGAAAGTCAAATCATTTTACCAATGAGACTTAAAATGTGACCTGAAACTACTCTACTAGCATAATTCAGTGTATGATAAACTATAACAAAGGGGAGGCCATGAACTTCTTAAACTTCACTTTCTTCAAATTGATGCCAGCTGTCAGTTAAGTTACTAACAAAATAAATGCTGCATCAAATGATGCCACTATATATGAAATTGCATATTTCAACTTCTGTGCAGAACTGTTTAAAGGGCTTGTTTAGACCGAAATAAAATAATGTTTCCAATCTATAGTGAATATGCAATTTTTTACCCTACAACTTTTCTTAACATTTATGTTTTTGGATGTTTCTCCTCTTCAGTTTCTTGCCATATTTATCACTGACTGTAAAAATTCAAGTGCATGAAACAGCAAAACCTATTTGTTGTCACTATTCTGAAAAAAATTAAATTTTTGGAGTGTTATGTGAAAAAGCCTTTAAGTGACAAAATCACATCAATTGTATGACTGCTGCTTTCCACACACTATTTAATAATGTAGCCTCCAGAAAGGCATTGATGATGCATTCTATATTAGCTGTATTTTGAAATATTCCACCCCTACACCCCAACCCCATCTTTTACTGTACTTAAAACAAAACTAACTCCAAGAATCAACACTACAACTACACTTCCTAGTGATCATTTAAACTGTCAGCAAACAGGCAAAGCAAACGCAGAGGTATCTCCCTAGCCAGAAATATTCAATGCTCTCACACTGAATCACTATTTAAAAATCATGCGTGCCACAAGGACCCTAATGGAAACTAGAAGGCAAGTGGTGAAAATATACCATCAGTAACTAATATCCCATGAGTATAAATTTTATTTTTTTTAAAAGTCATCCATCAAAATCATCCTCTATCTATGAGCCTCTCAGAATGATAATGCATTTACTACACTGATTGTTCACACTAAAACTAGAATGTGCTTCCTTTAGATTCACCATTACACATAAACCAGTGATCTGTCTCTTACTAAAACACTACAAATCACTTCTTTGATCAGCTGGCAATGTAGCCAGAAAGTAGTGAGACAAGTAGTTTTCCTTTTCCTTTAAAGACTGAATGATGTTCCTTATCTTCAGAGCTCAGACATTCAAGTGAGATTTAATACAAATTACAGTGAAAGGTAAAGTTTCACACCATATTTAATGCTTAGTTTAGTGATGAGCCAGAGGAACATTCTGAAGTATTTTGTTACTGAAAATCAGCTACATAAAAGGCATCAAGAAGCATACCACTAGAAATCATTCAGATTATGAAGGCTTTGTATTGAAAAGAAAGATACTTTTATTACCAAGAATAAATTGTACCTTAGAATGCAATTTATTGGAAAACCAACTTCCAGACCACGTATACTTCTCAGGTCTATTGAAAAGCAAAAATGATGAGAGGATGCTGGAATAACAATTTTCTGTGCAGACACAGGTTCAGAAGAACTGGACACACCCACAGGGTTGGGCTGAGATGCTGCTACTGGACCATTATCAGCTGAAAACACAAAAGAGAATTCATGTGCATTTTTTATAATTTGTTCTGCCCAAAATAACAAAATATATCAAAGATTAGTGTCACATTTTGAATGCAAGAAGACAGATTGCTTCCCTAAGAGATTTCGATTCCTTGTAGTATAAATGAATGCTGTGAAAAATAGCCACTCTTTTTGTAAGTTACAGCTTCCAAAGAAAAAACACCAAAACCCCAATATACTTTAAATCTTAATAGAATGTAGTATTTTTCCCTACATTTATTATCTTCAAAGCTACATTAGTTTAACACACTGAAAAAAAATTTAGACTAAGATCCAAGATACCAAATTCTTCTGAAGGATGCTGTAAGACTTAACAGTTTACATTAATTGTTCCTAGTCAACTTGAGGGCATGCAGAAGAAAAAAAATTATTTGTAGGAACTTAGGTTGCTTTGAATTAACTAACCTCCTTACTTTGGGACTTTAAAAGACAGAGCACCAGGTCAATTACAGCGCTCATGTAAGGCAGCATCAACTACTGGTCCCAAGCTGAGGTTTAGCTGTTGAAGCAAACTAAAATGTTCTAGGTTAGGTCTGCAAAGCACATCTGCTTATGTCGCAGACCTGCCTATGTGACATCTGTCCAGTTGCACCCAGGCTTCTCATGTCCTTACACTGGGACCTGATACTGCTTTCAAAGAGTAAAATAAACTTAAAGTCCTATGGACAGCGTTACCAAAAGGTAACATTTTGTTTGTCTTAGAAAGTTATTTGAGCTACTGAGTCCCTACAAAAAGCAAAGAGAGAAAGAAACTGTCAGATAGGAACTTAACTGCCTTTTGTAAGTGTGACTTGTTCTGATACTCTTTCTTCATAATTGTTTAAAATGTTTCCATTTTTGTCATTTTCAAAGAAATACACAATTGACTATTTTTCCTCCTTGTTTCTAGGTGTTTCATGTGCATTAACAGTAACTATGCCAAAAAGAAAAATTCCATAATACTTCAACATCAGCTAGTTAACACAACATAAGAATAAAATAATTCTAACTGATTAGGTAAAAAGTCAGTAGACTGATTGGTGCAAAGAAGTCACTGAATGGAATTTTAAGGTCATCACAGATATGAAAACAAGAACGTAATACAGCTTACTGTTAAAATTCATTTAAGTTGCTACTATATTCAAATGTTTTACTGTTAAAATTCATTTAAGTTGCTACTATATTCAAATGTTATTTAATGTACTAAATTGGATAAATTTTGCATTACTGGGATTTTGCAGATCTAATAGAGGTGACTTTGCTCTGCTCTGCAATTTGAAACCTGGAAGCTCTTCAGTGAACTGCTTGTTAACCTCTTGGCAGCAGCCAGACACCAGCTCTGAAAGAAAAATATGAATGACAAGTTTTACATTTTAACACAGAGTTATAAAATTACTATTACTATTAATAAAAAAGCACAATCCTGGATTTCTTAAGCAGAGACTCAAACCACATGCTGGGTTCACAATACTTTCTTGTTACATTCCATATAAAAAGGGCTTAATCCTTTCTTAGATAAGATCAGTTACGATTAAAAGGAAACTTGGCTGAATTAGCAGACAAATCCTGAGAGCACATTCTAGGACACAGGTTTTCCTCTACAGAACTGGGTGTCTTTAGCACCAATTGCAAAAGACCAGCAATACAAGTATCACTAGAAAAATAGTAATTCTGTTTTATTCATAAGTCATCTCTTAAGAAGACTCATGTTCAGTGACGTTTAGCAAAATAACATTCTTTTGAGTTTTATTCTATTACTACAGTATTTCTTCTTCTCTCATCTCTTTTCCTCTTCCACTTCTCTCTGACCCAGTTCTCAAATCAGAAACAAGACTGAGAAGGCTATTTGGGCTACCAAGTCCAAACAAAAGGATAATATAAAAACAAAACCAACCAAACAAAAAAAACCAGTTGCTTGGTTTTGTCCAGGAATCTGTATAATATGAACATTTGTCTTCAAAAATTATTATCCACATAGTACATTCCTTGGAAATTTTAAAAATCCCACAATATCCCTGCCTTTGTGTTTAGTAAATGTGAACATTAGACCATTTCATCTACTTATTGAGCAAGTCTGTTTCTTCATAGGTATTTCACTGAGCCTTCTCATTCACAAATTCAGGAAATTCCAAACACTTCTGTTACAATTTTCCAAGCTGATGACCATCCACATCACTTGTAATCTGCACACTACCAAATCCCTATCTGGCTCTTTCAAGTGTTCTCAACAACCATTATGTTCAAATCACAACATTTATTCCCTTATCCCCCTCCTGTTATTTGTTTTATGCAAATAATTCTTACTTGCCTTAAATTTATCACTGCAAGTGAGTATAACTTCACAAATATACTGCAAATGAATAGTGCATGATCCAAGACCACATAACAATTGGGCAAAAAACTATATACCACATACCTGTTTTCCTTGGGTTTGTGCCTTTTTCAAACTTAAGACTTTCCACTTCACTTTCTGTTGCCACATCTTCTTTTGAAGAACATTGATCAGCTTGAGATGGGACCTTCTGGGATCTCTGCTGCAGGCTCTCTGTTTTTCCACTAACAGGTGAAAGAACTTTCTCCTGTGGCTGTTTAGATTCAGTTGGAGCATTTAAGGGAATCAAAAGCTGAATGAAGTGATATAGTTTTCTTATTGATCATGGATTGCACTTAAAAATTCTGTCTACAACACTTTCACAGTTTGAGACTATTTTTCAGATATAGAAAAATAACTCTATGAAAGGATTATTTAGTATAAAGCAATTAATTATTTCAGGTTTTCTTTTACATAATCAACTGTCAAATACACTTTAGAAATACCAATTATTTTTTAACATGAAACTGTGCTACAGTGTTTAAACCAGCAATAAATGGGTAAGCTATACCTGGGGAGTCATGTTCTCCCTTTGAAGAACTACAGATACCCCAAGAGTAGGAGCCAGATCCAAAGGCAATTGTGGTAGCTTCTGTTTAGCTCTATTTGGTGGAACAAGGACAAATGATCCTTCTATTGCCACAGGGTGTTGATCAATCTCCACATTTCCTTTCTTCAGTAGTCCAGATAAGGGTATTTCAGTGCTTCCAAGAGAGTGGTCCCCACAGCAAAGATGGATCTGTACACACACAGAGGTGCTAGAAAGTATCTGGTATGTGCAATTTTCACTTCAACTGTCTGCACACCCTCCACTAAAGGTAGCATATATGCAACAAGTTATCATCCCTAGCCTAGTCTCTGTATGCTGAGAATATGAGCAGCTACAAAATGTCAATTCATAGCAGATCACTGTACTCCCCTGCTGAGGACCTGTCGTATCATTCCTTCTGTAGGACAAAATCAATAGTCTGTGCCTTCTAAACACAGCACAGATTCTTCCCCTTAACATATAGGCATATAAAATGCATGACTGCAAGGTAAAGAAAAAAATTATTTGAAAGCTCAGCCTTTGTGCATGTATTTAGCCACCACTTAAGCAGCAAGGATTTTTGGAATTAAGTAGCTGTTCTTAATTCCTGGTAAGAACCATCATTCTTCTTTGAAAACTTGACTCAACTGCTTCCTCCTTACACAGCTTAATATTTATAAATCTAAGTAAAAGATGTATCTTAAGAAAAAAAAACAAACAAAACCACAACACACTCTAAGATAATCTATTTTGCTCAAAGTTACTCTTTGAAACTTACATACTGACTTGCTCTTTCCCAAATAAGGGTCACTTCAGTTTTGATTTAGCAGATCAGAACACTGTATTCTGATCTTTAATATTTATTACTCTTAAGGAAAACTTCCATGCTAAAGAGTGTCAGCTGCAAATATACACACCTGTGTGTGTGTATACATACATATATACAAATACAATCATACATATATACACACTCCAGTCTGACAAATAGCACCTTTTACAACTAAACTCTACATTTTTGGAAAAACATATTAAAATTAAGAATCTGAAGACAGTGCTCCAATCCTATATCCTAAATTTTAAGAAGCTGAATGAGAAGTCGGAGAAAGAAAACTGTAAACCAAAATGTGGATCTGACCTCATGACAATTCTTGTTCAAAAAGTCCTTCTTTAAACATGATGCAGGCATGTATAATTCTCTGTATAAGTATATATGACATGACATATATGTATAATATATGCTATATTACTTTGTTTCAAGACTAAGATTAAATTCTAAACATATCAGTGCATAGATTTCTCCAAAAACGGAAAAATATTTAAAGTAGAGAGAAAAAAATCTGAAACAATATAAGATTTCAACAAAAACATTCTTAATCTATGCTGGATAACAAAACTAGAATGGTCTCTACAAACTTCAAGGAAAATAATTTTAAAAGGGTCCAGATCCAAGACTTCATACAACTAATACTGTCTTATTTACCAGCTACACTAATATAAACTCTATACTACCCTTATTCAACCAGTCTCTTGTAATTAGTAAGTGTGAGCTATGCACAGATTGTCATAAAGACTCTAAATACTACCCAATATTTAAAATCATATAATCATTTAGGTTGCAAAAGACCCTTAAGGTCACTGAGTCCAACTGTCAACCTAACTCTGCCAATTCCACCACTAAACCATGTCCCCCATTTAAAGGCAAGGCTAAAGATAAGCAACATCCCATAACAGCCCAAATATGTCTGTGGTGCATTTAAAAACAGCATTTGGCTAAGGAGCGGGGAAAAAAGCCAGATCTCCCTTCTTACAGCAAGTGCTGAGGACAGGGATTTTAGAACTTAGGCAAGAATGACCTGAGCAGCTGGCATAGGATTAGCATAGGCAGCACAAAGTGGCACTCAGGGTTGCAGATGGTCTGATTGCAGTGAAGGTCCCAGAGCTCAGAGCTCTTGGGAATGCCACATTAGCTCTTTTGGTATATCATGTTCCAGCAACACCTTTTATCATGACATGTAAATTAGCCTACCATGGCAACTACATTATGAAGTCTGTATTCCACTTGAGATGGGAAACTTGCTGCTAGGATTTCCCTCATATTAGCAAGAGAATGAACTTCTATTTGGGCCAAACTACTGCAATACAATCTTAGTTTTGGAAACAAAAATGCTTCCAGATTCAGCCTGAGACATATTCTATTTCTTTTCTTTTCATTATTTATTTTCATTCACATTTGAGATGAAACAGCTTACCTGCAATTTTGACTGTGTACAAAGATAAACCTGAAGGGCATCAACTGTACTACGTATTCGAACGGAAGCTCTTTCTGGCTCAAAGTTTGGATTAATTAAATCAGTGAAAGGTTCATTTGTGACATCATTTCCCAGTAACGAATAGTAGAAAAAAAACTCAGGTTGTCGTTCAGGAAGCTTCATAGTACTAGGAACTAACTGAAAGAGATTCAGAAGAGAATAATGCATCTCCTTCACTGATGTAGAGTTACAGTAATTCTTCTGTAGACAGCTTAAATTGATCTCAAACTACCAGGCAGCTGACCTAAGTCCTAGCTTGCACTACACAAATGAGATAACTTTTAAATACCCAAACAGAAGTAAAAAAAAACAACAAACAAACAAAAAACCCCCAAACAATTTACAAGCATAACAATAACTCGCAAAATGACCAATTTTGAATTACCTTTAAGATCTGGCAGCACTAAAGGCTGTAACTGACATCATATATTTAGTAACATCAAGCACTGCACAAATACTTAGAAATAAGTAGTGTCTTGATAAAATATTGATAAGGTAAACAAATAATGCAGATTAGATACTGAGTTATTATATAATTTATGTGATTGAATAAGAGACTGAAACAGACAACCAGCTACTTCATCCTGTAGCCAACTGCAACTGTCAGCTCAATGCCTAAAAAGGCACAAGCCACCCCAGAAAGACCACAATAAATTTACTTCTTAAGGTCCTACACTTTTTATGTGTAAAATTATTTTCCCTTAAAAAAAGAAAGATAACAAGACTGAGGAGAGTTTACCATACACTATGAGTTCCAGATCAATTAAAACCATGCTGGCTTGGAGTCATGACTTTCATGGTAACTTGAGTATATCAGATAACATGTATCAGTGTGGCACAGTACAGCATAAACATAGTACCTGAGGTCTAAACCTGAAACAATTATTAGCACAGCACTTCATCCAAGCTAATAAATTCTTCCCTTAGGCAACATATAAATTCTACTGTTTCATCTATCTTACATATTTGAAAAATATTTCACTTTGTTTGAACTTCAGCAAATGGGCACCACACTGAAGACTGGTATGATCCATATACACACATTTTACACTATATTGCAACACGGAAGTATGTATGATTTAAAGTAAATGCAACTTTAGCACTCTAAACAAATTCTAATTAAATATAATATTTATATTTAAATATAAAACATATATCGTTTTAAAATGAAAACTAACGTATATAAAGTCAATATAGGACAAGGCTATTTATTGCAAGAAACTCAGAGAACAATTAAAACCCCTTACTACAAATAAAACATGTGAAGGTGAAAATACAAAGGTAGAATAGTACATAGCAAGGAAACAGACCTGTTCCAACTGTGTGGCAAATGCAATGGTTACAGACAAGACAAAGTAGTCTCTGCAATACTCTGCTGGTCCAATTTGATGATAGCCCTCTTCTTCATTCAAGACTGGTATAACGCTTTTAGGGTCTAACCCAGGAAAAAGAGTAACTACTAAGAGAGAAGAAAAAAAACATAAGCAACTACTGATCTTATTAATTGCTGCAGCAATCTGATTCTAATTTTACACTTAAGTATTGTACATGTGGAGAGAAAACTGCAAATAAAGATCTTGATGCCTAGTAGCACAGCATCGCAAAACACAAAACAAGTCCCTAGGTATACTTAGGTATAGCTACAAAAAAATTCTCAAATAAATTTCTATTCAGTGGGCACAGATATGATTTTGAACACTATGCTAGACAGAATTCTAGTGCATATTTTTATTAAGTGTTACAGTGAGTGACATTACAGTGACTGGAAGATTACTTCACCAGGTTAGAGTCTGTCATGCTGTTTTTTTATTTTGCTCATTAAAGGAAATGCAAGACAGTAACTGTATATGACAGCCTGTTGAAAAAGTATGATGTGCCATTCCACAGACTTTTGGAATGCGTCATTTAAAGATTTTTCATCTGAACTCTTCAGTGCATAAAACACATGAATCCTAAAAGGAAAACTGCCTGACTAGACTAGAACTGGGTAATCCAGCTTTGTCATATGCAATGCCTGGAACGTTAACTTTACACCTGTGAAAACCCACACATTTTTTTTTCCTCCATTACCTAAATATGGTATTGACCAATCTTGAGGTGACAGAAGGAAATAAAAAGTTGGCAAACCTGTTTGTAGCAATTATTTCACAGAAAACATGAAGTACAAAACAGTGCTGCGTGAAGGCAGAAGGGTTTTCTTGTATTTTCTGCCAGTGTCGTGAGGGGTAGAAGAGCTTGCAGGCGCAAATATCTCAAGGGAAGTGCAGACTAATGAACCATTTACAGTAGTTCCTTGCCTCTTTTACAAACTTTACAGGGTTGCACTGTGAACCTGAAGGCTGTGTAATTACACTGAAACTTAAATACTGTCTTAACCCATCTTGAAATGCAGCCAAGTCAATGAAGTCTGGGCCAGAAACCTTACTGCTACTGACCACTTTGTTTTTACAAAATCACAGCCATAGATCATAAGCAGATGATGAATTTAGAATTAGGGAAAAGTTACCCTCTGGTAAGAACACAAAGTATCATAAAATCAGTAGGAGAAAATCCACTAATTGGTACCAGAGGCTCATTTTTCAGAAATTAAGTAGATAGGCTTTTGGATAGGAGATCAGGGAGGGGGGGATGTAATTATGGGTTTGGGGGTTTTCTTGAAGGTCTTTTAAATAGCTTCTAAGACTTTGGCTTTGTTTTTTAAAAACCATTAACTTGCACTAAAAAAAAAAATCAGTAGGAGAAAATCCACTAATTGGTACCAGAGGCTCATTTTTCAGAAATTAAGTAGACAGGCTTTTGGATAGGAGATCAGGGAGGGGGGGATGTAATTATGGGTTTGGGGGTTTTCTTGAAGGTCTTTTAAATAGCTTCTAAGACTTTGGCTTTGTTTTTTAAAAACCATTAACTTGCATTAAAAAAAAAAAATCACAGATAAAAAAAGTGACTGAAATGCACAGCACAAAGCTATATACCAGTGTTAACATTTGAGTTCCAATAGATTTTCGACACATTTTTGACCCAATAGGTTTTTGACACATTTCACATTTGAGAGAAATGAGCAAAGGAATTCAGAAGCAGAATGAATCCCAACAGTAAGTAGACATTACTGGAAAAAATCCTTAACAATAGGTTATGATCTAAGCACTGAAAGATTAGAAGAAAAATCCATCAAAAAAACCAGAAGCCTACCCAACAAATGAAACATTTTACTGTTTTACAATTCCAAGCCCAAACCACTGAAACTTTACCTTCTGTAAAGAAGTTCCTTTCTTATTTCTTACATTACAGAACTTTCTAAAGCCCAGAAATACAAGCAAAATGCCCATGGGAGTTAAGTGATTTCCATTGTAAAAGTCAGTTGGTTTGCAGCTTGTCGCACAACTACCACAGTAAAGCATCCTTGAAAAATTTATTACTACAAGGTACATTAATCAGCTGCAAAGGATTTGCATTGGAACTGCTGTGAAATTAAATTCGAGACAATACATTTGCAACAAGTCATATGTCCATCTGGCACAGGAACATTTTAAATTCAGTGTGAATGATATTATATTACTTACCCTTTCCTTCTCTAGGGGGTGCCTCCTTGGCTTTAAAATCATCAACCAGTGCTTTTGAATCAGTCTCCAACACAACACCTATTTGTATTTCAGGTTTAAATTTAGGGTACTTGTTACTAAGCAAAGGATACCATTTGGGTGCCTACATAATTAAAATCAAAAATAAAAACCAAAAGCACTTTAAAACCCAAGAAAGATAACATACTATTATTATAGAAAACTTGATCTTGATCTAGCACTTCTACTTCATCATCTACAGAAATATACCTTGGTTTTTATTTCTAAAAATTTGATCTATTTTGAGTACACTATTATCATGAAATCACAGAATCAACCAGATTGGAAAAGACTTCCAAAATCATCAAGTTTAATCCTTGATCCAACACTGCAGTGGTTACTAGACCATGGCACTAAGTGCCACATCCAGTCTCATCTTAAAAACCTCCAGGGACGGGGAATCCACCACCTCCCTGGGCAGCCCATTCCAATGCCTGATTACTCTCTCTGTAAAAAATTTCTTCCTAATATTCAACCTAAAGCTCCCCTGGCAGAGCTTAAGACCGTGCCCTCTTGCCCTACTGCTAGTTGCCTGGGGGAAGAGACCAACCCCCACCTGGCTACAACCTCCTTTCAGGGAGTTGTAGAGAGTGATGAGGTCTCCCCTGAGCCTCCTCTTCTCCAGGATAAACAACCCCAGTTCCCTCAGCCTCTCCTCATAGGACTTGTGCTCGAGTCCCTTCACCAGCCTCATTGCTCTTCTCTGGACCTGCTCCAGCACCTCAGTATCCCTCCTGAACTGAGGGACCCTGAGTTGAGCGTTGAGTACAGGAGCAAGCCAAAGCGGAGGACCCGGCACTTGGCCTTGTGGAACCTCATCCTGTTGGATATTAGACAGAATTGGGCCCAACACTGATCCCTGAGGGACACCATTAGCAACCAGCCACCAACTGGATGCAGCACCGTTCAGCATCACTCTCTACATTACATGAAAAGATTCTGTAGAATGGTTCCCAGGAGACTAGCTGAACATACTCTTTTCCACCAAATTGTACACTGAACAAGTTAGGAAGAGAAATATACAATAAATCTTTAATTAGAAGAGAAAACCTTCAAGTCCTCAACTGAAAGGGCACAGTATGTATTGCACTGCAAATGTATGCATTGCAAATCCTTAAGAAGAGTAATGTCAAAGTAATACAGGGTCCTGTATTGTGCTTACTCTGTGCTGTAATAAGGGACTAGAAATAATTGCCTAACACATCTTCCACTGAGGCCCAGCAAAAAAAAAAAAAAAGAAGACTTGATTTGATGACAGAGACTCAATTCAATTGTTCAATATCTATTGCTTAGATAATTTTTTCTAGGTGGTTAAAAAATGAAATTGTGTAGAATTATTGGTTGCAAGTGATCCAGTTATCAAATTCAGAAGTAAGCAAGATTAGTACAGCAATACTTTCATTTGTGTATGTTCTCAGAGTCAAGAAAGAGGCTCCTATAAAGAAAAAAAAAAGAAAGAAAGAGTACTAACCCCCCCACATGATCACCATACATGATCAGGTAGAGTCAGACTAAAAAACAAGACTCAAAAGTTTAGCCTGTGCCTTAATTCAAATTGTAGTAACAGTCCTGTTGTCAAAACATAATCTTTAAAGCTTTATACATCATAATATACCTGTTTCTTTTCCTGTGCAGCTCTCAAATCAAGAACAATATAGCCTATATTCTCTTTAGCTGAAGACACGGGATCCAATGCAAAACACTGGAGTTTGATAGGTGTACGCTGCAGCCTGGAAGAGCAACTCAGTTGAAATACTAAAAGTTATCTCTGCAATTAGTTCTCAAAAATAATTAATAAGTTTCAAGCACACTAATGACATAAAAATTATTTTTTATATAACTAGTTTCATTAGGTCAGAAACTGAATTTATATTGAATGTATTGTAGCCTCATCATTAAGTGAGAGAATGAATCAAGTGGTTTAACTTTGTAAAAGGAGTGCCCTTGAGTCTGAGTCTCCAGTGCTATTAAAAAGACAATAGCAACAAATAAATACAAACTCATCCACATACAAGAAACAAGCATAGCGCCTCACAAGAAATTTGAATTTCACTTGTAAAGGCATCTTAAAAATAGGACTTGTGGAGAAAGTTTTGTGTAAAGTCCCTAACTACATACAGGCACAGATAAGGTGTCTAGCAGATGGTACATGCAGGTGTCTTTCTCTTGTCAAACAAAGAAAATATGGTCTCTTTAATTTCTTTGGAAATAAGGTTGTAGTATTACAAACTGTAAGTTAAAACCAAATGACAGTTACTCAAACATTCAATTTCTCAGCTCTTCTCCCTGACATTTTCAAAAGCCAGAAAAGCCTATATAAAGTAAGTATACTTACTTTATATACAGTATACGTAAGAAAGCTTGAATCCAATGCTTGAATTATAGCATTAATAATTTGCTCTAAGCTCCTGTGGGTTTTTTTCAGTGGTGTAATATTACATACAGTACCTCTTTTTGTTATGGCAACATTATGCTAGATTAAAGTAAAAGAAAGTTTCTAAAAACCAATTTAGTTGACAGTAACACAAAAATTGTATTTCAGAAACTGTAAAGACAAGAAAATCAAATTTTATTTCCAAATTAGATTTAACTTTTTAACATTACCTGTGCTGATGAAGTGCTTTCCTATCCAGTTCCCAAGCCAATTCTGTAGCAAATTCTGGCTGATCAGTATGCTCTATGGGATCAGTAGCCAACTGTTCACCATCAAACTTTGCTTCAACTATAAGACTGTGCTTGGGTCGTTTTGGAAAACAGCGCCCTGTAAAACAGTGTACCTGCCATGTGCCATCACTAAGAAAGAAGCAAGAGCCCAGATTTATACCATAAACCGATTACATAAAATTAACTTCCTGTACCACGTTCCCTCCACTTACTCAAAGAGCTCAGATTTATGCCATAAAGCGATTACATACAATTAATTTCCTGTATAACTTTCCCTGCACTTACTCTAAAGCTGTTCTTTACATTAAAAGGAAAAAGCCTTCACACTGTGCAGAAGTATGAAAGAAGAACATAACATGAAACACACTATCTGTAAAGCATCCAGAAACAAGGCATTAAGTAACAAAGAAGAGAGAGAAAGAAGCTAGGCAATTGGTATGATTTGAGAAATTTATGATTGGTAATAAATAAGTGAGCAGGTGAAAAAAAGCAATTGAGTATTTTGCTTCAACTGCAGATGTTATGACTGCCCCACACCTAAGTAGCAGAATATGATCTTATAAAAGTAGTAAAAGGTATTTTACCAGCCACTTTCTGGGAAAAAAAAAAGTCACTACCAGATTAGGAAAGAGCCTAAAACTGTGTATGATTTGTCCTGGGTTCAACATCATCTTGTATTCTGATTAACAATTTAAATGACTGGAGGAAGTGAACGCTTAAAATTTACTTATATCACAGTGTGGGGAGAGAACTGTGGGCATTTTAGGGAACAGGAACTTATTTCTAAGCTCCTTTGGCAAACTACATAAATGGACAGAGAGGTAACGGGATTTACTTGCCAGAGAGAAACCACTCTACCAAAAAAACCCCAAACAACCAGGAAACAACTCGAAACAAAAAAAGACAGCGCCCGGACTCACACGCTACTTAGACCACAGCAAGTAAAATCTGTAGAAATACAAGATGATGAACGAATAGCATTCAAGTCAATACTACATAAAAACTTACAGCAGATTTCTAATAAGGGATAGAAACACCAGAATACTGCTTAAAAATAAAGTAAAAATAATAATAATTAAAAAAACCAAGGCAGGACGGTTGCTTTCCTCAGTCATTTTAAATAATACACTGGGTAAATACCTCCAAATTCGTGTTGGGGGTAGCCAGCCCTGGCTTTAAGATACGTACGTCCACAGTTTTACTGACATAGCCCTGATTTTTCAGTGTTGCTTGGCTTTCGCCACCCACGCCACCAGAGCAAACACCTCCGGAGGCAGCGAGCACCCCTCCCTCACATTCCCTTCGGCATGGAGACGATGAGCAGCCCCCGGGAGGCCGCGGCCGTCCCGCCCCCACCCGGTTACCTTCCAGCACAGAGACGACGATCAGCAGCCGATCGGCGGCTCTGGACACCATCTCCCCGCTCCGCCCGCGGGCCGCCGGGGCCGGGACCCCTGAGGCCGCTCCGCCCGCGCTGCCGCCGCTCGCCGCCCTTTTGCCGCCCCGGAGCCTTTAAACGCCAACCGCCGCCGCGCTTCCGCCTGGCAACGCCGGCCCCGCCCACCCCGGGACCCGCTTCCGCCGCCGCCACCGGCGCCGCTCCGCCCCTGGGCCGGCACCGCCCCCGCACCGCCCCTGGACCTCCCCTGAGCCAGCATCATCCCCGCACCGCACCCGCTCCGTCCCGGCACCGCTCCTGAGCCGGCACCGCCCCGGCACTGCCCCCGAACCGCTCCCACACAGACCCGGCACCGTCCCGACACCGCCCCTGCGCCGCTCCCGCCCCGCTCCGACATCGCCCCTGCTCCGGCAGCAGCACTGCCTCTACCCCCGCACCGCGCCCGCACCACTCCCGACCCGCCCTGGCATCGCGTCGCGTTAAAGGTCTCTGAGGACACCGCTATTACGTCGCCTCCCAACATTACAGTTTTCTCGAGCACCCTGCACTGCCAGTCGACCAACACCAGCTACTTCAAAGACGTCCCTTCTATTAAATCCGGGAAGTTTCGTTACTTCCATCCCCCCTCCGCCCCAGCCTGGGACGGGTGTCAGGGTAGGACGATCTGGATCCAGTCCCTAGCGAAATGCAGCTTTGTCCTGCTTAGGTAACGTTTTAGGGTATTCTTGTCTTCCACGTGAAGTAATCATCAGTTAAGCAGCCATATCAGGAATTAGTGTGTTCCCCCACTCGGCATCCCAAGTTACCTAAGTATGTCTTGACGGTAAGGCAAAAGAAACCATTTTCAAGTTTGCAATATTTTGTTTATTAGATAGCCTAGCAAAATCTTTGCACTGACGTAAAACCCTCGTGTTTTAGTAACACACACATTCCGTAAAGATTCTGGGTCAAGGTTTGCAAACATCAGGAGAGGGAGAATCCTTTTCCTTTTGCAAGAATTTATTCTGGTGCTGAAACACTTCCCAAAAAGACATTTTCCTGTATCTGAGTTGAATTTGCCCAAGTTTAGTTCTGGGTGCTGCTTTTTGTTGTGTCATCTTCTGTTGTATAACGTTGCATTTGGCATAGCACCTCTCTGTGTCTACAGTCTGAGTTCCTAAATTTCTGTCACTCAGCTTCTGCAAGGCGGGTTGTAGATACATTTTATACATACCTTTTACATAAGACCTGGAGGCAGACCCCTGAAAAGTGAGTGATTTTGGCTAGTGAGGGACCATGATCACAGAATATGACAAAACTATACAGTTTACCTGTACAGCTTTTTTATTACAAAATTGATTTCTCTTGGCGTGATTCCTGGAAATATTCTTGTGAACTATTGTTGAATAAACAATCACTTCTTCTCATAACTGTTCATGGATTTGCTTTTTGCCTATTTAGCAAGATGAACTGGTTCAGCATAGGGTCAGATAAATGCCAGAGCATAGACAAAAGACTGAGAGCATGTGATTAACCATGCTGGTTTATGGGTGTTTATGTCTGCACATGGCAAAGCATGTGGGATCTCCCCTTTTGGCAACAGCAAGCCATTAAATCAGGTCAACTACCTCATGGAACTTTATCCTTTTACATTCTCTCCTGGCCCTAGCCTGACTTTTGTCTTGATGTTACAGGTATTAACTGTGCCAAGAACCTCATTACTACGAACTTTTTCCAGTAAAGACTTTTTTTTTAAAAAAAAGAGAGGAAGAAAGGCAGGACAGAAAAAAGACATGAAGAAGACAATGGGGCTTTCTTGGTCTTATCTTCATTTGTTTTGCAGTACACCAAGTCTTTACCTATTAATCCTAGCACCACCAGAGATTGTTTTCTTATTATGCTTTCATAGACTTGCCTACTTGTATATCCTCTTATGCTTTTGCCTGCCCAGGTGTCAGCTGCAGGTTGTGCCCCTAATCTTATACCAGAACTGGACAGTAGCAGTGAGAACACATGTGGGAGGCAGTGCCCAGGTAGAGGAACTCCTTTGCTTAGTGACAGAGGTGTGGGAGGAGGTAAGCAAATTGAGCAGTATCTGAAAGTCTGACCAAGAGAGGGACTACTTGAATAATACCCCACCTTCCCAAGGACAGATCAGTCAGGCAGACAGGATACATGACACAGGAGATTCCATATCCTCTCTTCAGTTTGCAGAACATCATGACTTAAGGGATAGAGGGGAATGCTACTGACTTGCACAGCTGGTGCATCTCCTCTGTTATAGCCCCCCCTTTCTCAGCTGCCCAGGAATAGTAGGTACAAGGCTCTGCAACTGGAGCTGAACAGCGATGAGGATGGTGTGTCATTTAGGTCGCACTTGTCGCTGAGGTTGAACTGCTGAGGTTACTTCCTCTGTCAAAACCGCTTCCATACAAAAAAAAAAAAAAAGAAAGATGGATCATTGTCATAGGAGACTTTCTTCTGAGAGGAACAAAAAGCCCAGTATGCAGACTGGACCCAAAGCCTGTGTTAAAGACAGTATGAACAAACATTCTACTCTGGTATAGCCCTCATTTTATTAACCATTAATACTTTTTCATGTAGGCAGCAATGAAATTGCAATAAGAAGTCCAAGGACAATTAGAAGAGACCTCAACACCTTGGGATGAACTGGCTAAGAGACCGGGAGCACATGTAGTATTCTCCTCTATCATTCCGGTTGCAGGGAATGATGAAGGAAAAAACACAAAGACCCAGCAGATCAACATCTAACTCTGAGGCTGGCAGAATTCTGTCACTGGCAGAATTTTGTGGTTTTTGATCATCAGGACTGATGATGACAGATGGGGTGCACCTGTGTTAAAGGGGGAAAAGGATCTTGACTCAGGAGTTAGCAGGACTAATTAATTGAGTTTTAAACTAGATTGGAAAGTGGAAAGGGATAAAACCACGCTCACTAGCATGCCTGGGAGTGGCATGCTAATGTTCAAGGGCTAGGGTGCCAGTGAGGTCCTTCAGCCTGCTCCACCATGTGCTGAGGAAATTTGATATGCTGAGGACACTGTAGCACATTCAATTACCCCTGTACTAATGCGTCCATCAGGGGTGGGTGTTGAAGTGTTAGACAATATGGAAGCACTTGAGGACAGTCACATAGGAATTAGGGCTTCTTCCCTTCTAAAGGTGGCAGGATTGATAGCCAAACTGAAATTCATCTACAACAAATTAATCTACAACAAAGCATGCAGCATGGGCAAAAATGTGAGGCGATGGAAAACATTGTGCAGCCTGAGAATTACAGTGTAAGCACTCATAAAAACATGGTGGGATAATTAACGCTTCTGCTGCAACAAGTGGCTACAAACTATTCAGAATTAGCAAGGAAGGAAAGATGGTGGGGTAGTCCTGTATATTAGGAAGTGTTTTGACTGTCTAGAGCTTGACAATGGTGATGAAAGGGTAAAATCTGCTTTCTTGAAATTTGTTATGCCTTTTTTTAAACGCATTTCTTGACACCAAACTAAGGACAACTCCAAACAGGGACAACCTAATGACTCTCAGACATCAATAAGAATACTAGAGTTTGAAGGGCATCTGAATGAAACAATACAAAGACAATGGTGGTATTAAAATATCTTAAATGTTTTTGCCATTCAGCATACTCCTTTTAAAGAATTTGTGAAACAGTTTTTAATCTATCTGAAATATATAGAATTAAAAAAATCCAAGATATAACAGTAAAAAAAAAAGGATCACTTAGTCATAAAGCAGCCTGTCTTAACTGTGTCAGTTTCTATAGCATTATATCAGTCTTTTCCCATTTTCTGAGTTTGAGTTTTTGTACCTTAAGCAAATTAGCGTCATTACGTTTCTCTTTTAAAAACAGAATTAGAACTGTAGCACTTTCAGTATTAATTTGTCAAATTTTAATCCAATTTCAATGAAGAAGATAGAGATTGTCCAGTATCTTTGTCTTCATTACTTCATTACATATCTTTCCTTATTCCACATCTCTAAGGAAACAATATAACTAAATTCAGGTAAATACAAATTATAAGTTGCCTCATAAAATCTATCAAGTAGGGAATATTAGATATAATATTTCAGTTAGCATTGGTTACAAAATTTTCTTCACACAGACAATAGTTAAACTAATTATTGAATTAATAATTTATGAGTACTATAATTAAATACTCTAGTCAACATTTTTTGTTTTTATCTCCTTGTTTTAGAGGCTATTAAGTTACAACAATTCTTCACAATTATTAACTGATTTTCCTTGGCATGGCTCTTTTTTCCAATCACAGTTTCACTTCCCAGTGATATCATGTGTCAATTTTGTCTCCATATATTGTCTTATCCCTCATTTTACAAGGTTACTTACTCTTCTTTACCTTGTTCTCTTAAATAATAGTTTTAAAGTGTATTTCCATTAACATTGAAAGATTTGTACTTGCTGCATTTCGAATTGGCTTAAGATCATTTATTTAGTTCTTATTTAACCTACCTTGCATCCACTTTAACACTTGAGGATTGTTCATGCAGAGAGCACAGTACTAGGGGTTTTAAATGCATGTAAGTGTAACGTGTGTTCTAAAAGGGTAACTTGAATTAGTCTTCTTATGGTTGTTTGGCTACACTTTGGAATACTTCAGAAACATCCTTAAATGTTCTATTCTTTCTTATCATATAACAGTATATAAGTAAGAGCACACTTCATATGGAGGCTGAATATGAGAGAATAATTTTAAATACTTTCTTGAAGGCAAAGTTTAGAATTGGAATCACTGATCCTCACTGCATGACCTGGAAGAGCGAAAACATCATTTAAACAAAGGAAATTTAAATTTTAAAAGAAGGGCAGCTGAAGGCTCTTTTCAAAGATTAGATTAGAAAAGTAATAAATTGAATTCTTCTGAAAAAGGGAGAAGCAAATGGTGAAACATATTTCTTCAGAATAAGTAAGAAAAGATTATTCCTTCTCCACTGACAGCTGTGGCATGTGTAACCAAATGGTGTAGATGTCACTGGAAAGTTTATTGTAATGCCTAATTCACACAAACTGTACTCATTAAT